CCTGAAGTCTCCCCGCATCCTTTCAGTGCCCTGTACCCCTCCTGCATCTCCTCTAAATTCCCCCCTGCACCCTCCTGAATCCCTTATGAATCCTTTCTGCACCCTTACACCCCTCCTGCATTCCCCAGCAGCCTCACTGCACCCCTCTACATCCTCCCTAAATCTTCCCTGTCTCCCTGCAACCCTTCTGCATCCTCCCTAAATCCTGCCTGCATCCCTGCACCCCTCCTGCATCCTTTTAAAATCCTCTCTGCATCCCTGCATCCTTCCTGCATTCCCATAAATCCTCCCTGCACCCCTTTTGCATTCCCCTAAATCCTCCCTGCACCCCTTCTGCATTCCCCTAAATCCTCCCTGCATCCCTGCACCCCTTCTGCATTCCCCTAAATCCTTCCTGCGGCCCTGCATGACTTTGCATACTCCCTGCATCCCTCTCGCCCCCACTCCTGCATCCCTGTATGTCCGTCCCCTTCCCATCCCGGCACCGCATCCCTGCATCCCGCCCAGCAGCAGGAGGATCTCTCCAGTCCCCTCCTGTCCCTCACTCCCCTCGCCACGAAGAGCCTGTGCCGCGCCGCCCGCACCCTCACCCCGCACCTACCCGTGCGCCCACGGGAGAGGATTTTCCTCTCTGAGGACACACAGGTCCAGTCCCGCAGACACCGCTCCCTTACCCGCGGCTGTCGGGTGACTGTGCCCCCAAAGGATACTTACTGGTGGTGGGCTGGGGGCTGGAGGGGAGAAAGCCCTGATGGTGGCATTGCCCAAAGAGCCTCCAGCAAGTGGGGAGGACTTTGTAGGGTCCTGGGTGGGGGGATGGAGGTGGACCAAGCCCCACAGCTGTGGGGCTGAGAGCAGTTCCCTGGCGTGGGGAGCGAAGAGCGGGGAGCAGCACCCCATCCCGGGGCTGTACCGGCACCCGAGGGAGATGGGGTGAAGGTGGTGCTGGCCTGGGGTGTCGCGGCTCTCCCTGGGGGCTGTGCTTCGCTGTGGTGAGCAAGGGAATTCTGAGCTCATTTGGCATCACAGGTGCGTGTTTCTAACGGGGAGCATGACCATGGCCACAGGGGGGACAACCAGCCCCCCCGGCGTCCCTCGTCACGCCAACCGCCTGATTAACGAGAAGTCCCCCTACCTCCTGCAGCACGCCCACAACCCCGTGGATTGGTAAGAGCGACTGGTGCCTTTCTCCCTCCTCCTCCTCTCCTTGTGTCTGTCTGTGGGGCCAGGGCAGTCGCTGCTGTGGAAGCGATGGCAGGGGGAGCAGCCTGGCCTCTGTGGGGCACGGAGGGGCCTCCTGCGCAGCCCCCTCAAGCGCTCGGGGTCCACGCTCCTGAGCCAGCCATTCCCCCGGCTGTCCTGATTGCTCTCCACCAGGCAGTAGCTCCTCAGGCAGCTTCAGAGGAGCCCGAGTCCCGGCAGCAGTGACCCCTGAAGCTCCTTTCTTGTCTTCCCTCCACAGGTACCCTTGGGGTCAGGAAGCCTTTGATAAAGCAAAGAAAGAAAACAAGCTGATATTCCTGTCAGGTAACCAGAAACAAGACATATTTCATGTTCCCCCGTGTTGTTCAGTAGATGAGCCGGGCTGTCTCCTGAGCTGGTGTGTGAATGGCTGCATAAGTGAGGATGGGCACTGGGCACCAAATCAAGAGAGGGTTTAGTAGCTCTCGTTGAAGATGGGGTTCATCCAGGGGCCTTCCTGGCTACCAAAGTCCTTTGCCAGGTCTTGGGAGCAAGAGCTGGAGAGCACAGGAGGCCTTTCTCCCCCACCTCTTCTCCAGGGAGACAGCAGCTGTTCCCCATGGCAGGGTGTCCCACCTCTGAGTGACCTCCCCATCACATGTGTCCTGCTCCCTGCAAAGGGCCTTTTCTCACTCGCCTGAGCTTGTTTTCAGTTGGCTACTCCACCTGCCACTGGTGCCATGTGATGGAGGAGGAGTCCTTCAAGAACAAGGAGATCGGAGACATTATGAACAAGAACTTTGTGTGCATCAAAGTGGATCGTGAGGAGCGGCCAGATGTGGACAAAGTGTACATGACCTTCGTGCAGGTAAGGGAGGCACAGGCAGGGATCGGGAGGCTTTGACTGGCTCTCTCAAGATGAAGTTCGTGGTCATGTTCCTCAGGCAAGAAGAACCAGTATGTGGGGTGATCTGAATGGGGCCATGCATGATCACAGGGATGGAAAGAAGCACACGTCAGTCCTCAAGTGAGGCACATGCGTGTGCCAGAGGGGTACAGAAGAGAGAGTGCCTCTTGTGTGACCTTGGTGCACCCATGGTTTGTCTTTCAGGCAACCAGTGGTGGAGGTGGTTGGCCAATGAGCGTCTGGCTGACTCCAGACCTAAAGCCCTTTGCAGGGGGAACATACTTCCCTCCTGAAGATGGAGTTCATCGTGTTGGTTTTCGGACTGTGCTGCTCCGAATCGCAGAGAAGGTATGGAGCAGGAATGGCTTAGCAGGCAGTGCTGAACCAAAGGGACAGCAGGGACATTGGTCTGGGCTTGACGGGTGGCTGAGTTAAGAGATACAGTCATGAGAAACCGTAGCCCAGAGAACATGTTAAAGCTTTGTCTGGGTTAGAGACGGATTGGAACTGATCTGAGGAGGGCAGGCCGAGAACTGAAGGTGCAGTTTGGACTGGTGCAATGCAGGAAGCAGAAAGAGAAGACAAAAAATGGAGGAAATGACTTTCTCACTCTGCATCTTAGTGGAAGGAGAACAAAGATGCCCTGTTGGAGAGCAGCCAGAAAATCCTGGAAACATTGCTACACCTGTCTGAGATCCGTGTTCAGGGCCAGGAGTCACCCCCACCATCCAAAGAAGTGATGGCCACCTGTTTCCAGCAGCTCTCCAACTCCTATGATGAGGACTACGGTGGCTTTTCCAAATCCCCCAAGTTCCCCACCCCAGGTCAGTCTGACCTCTGCTGCTGAGCCCCGCTGTGGGGCAGGCAGCGCCGGGGGGCAGAGCCCACCCCACAGCCTCCCGCTTTCTCCCTGTATTGCAGTGAATTTGAATTTCCTCTTCACGTACTGGGCCCTGCACCGAACAACTCCAGAGGGTGCCCAGGCACTGCAGATGGCTTTGCATACCCTCAAGATGATGGCCCACGGGGGCATCCATGACCACATCGGTCAGGTAGGAGGAAAGCCTTGGGAATAAATCCCTGGTGTGCCTGGGAGGCATTGGGTAGAGATGTAGGGTGGAGATGTGGGGTGAAGATGTGACCACTTGGTCTTTGCAGGGGTTTCACCGCTATTCCACCGACCAGCACTGGCACGTCCCTCACTTCGAGAAGATGCTGTATGACCAGGGGCAGCTGGCAGCTACGTATAGCAGAGCATTTCAGGTACGGCTGTGGCCATCCCTCTGCGGGGCAGGGAGCTCACTCGGCACGCTGAGTGCTGGCTGGGGAGGGCTGGCTTGGTTTGGAGAGCAGCTTTAAAGCCTGTTCTCCAAGATGTTGCCCATCCCATGGGCACGGAGCAGTCCCATGCTCCCCTTCATCTACTGGTCTTCATCTAGACAGGAATGCTGCACAAATCTGTCACAGTTTAGCCCCGGGGTTTTGAGCGTAATGGGGGAGGGAACAGCTTTCAGGCTGGTCTTTACAAGAGTCAGCAAACACGTGCTGCTGCTGCTGCTGACCATGGTGTAACTCCAGGGTTGCTCTCCAGTGCCTGTAGATTTCTATCAGAGATCATACTCTGAATCCATCCGATGTTTAAATTCCCTGGGCATTCAAACGTGTTTCCCTGCCTTTGCCAGCTCTTTAAATCAGAACCGCTTCTTATATCTTGCTGTGTCTCTTGCCTCCCCTCTCCCCATTGTAACATTGATGTCCACCCTGTGCTTCCCTCAGATCTCTGGCGATGAATTCTTTGCCGATATCGCCCAAGACATTCTGCTGTACGTCTCACGGGACCTGAGTGACCAGGTAGGTTGTTCCCTGAGCTGGGCCAAAGGGAGCTGCTTACCCTGCCCTGGGAGGTGGCTCGGGGCTGCTCTTCCCTCTGTCCCTTCCCAGCTGAGCTCACTCTGGGGCACTGCTGCAGCTCGCTGACCGGGCTGCCAGCCCAGCAGCGATGGGGAGCTGGCTGAAGGTGCTGTCCTGGCAGCTGGAGGGTCTCTCTATTGCTCTTTTCCCAGGCAGGAGGTTTCTACAGCGCAGAAGATGCGGATTCCTACCCAACCGCCACATCTGGAGAGAAGCAAGAAGGAGCTTTCTGTGTGTGGGCAGCCGAGGAAATCCGGGCTCTCCTTCCTGACCCTGTCGAGGGAGCCACAGAGGGGACAACGCTGGGAGATGTCTTCATGTACCACTATGGAGTGAAGGAGAATGGCAACGTGAGCCCCATGCAGGTGAGGGAGATCAAAGACCTACCCAGTACTGGGAGCATCGGTGTGGAACCTGCACCCCTGGGCATGGGAGAATGGCAGAGCAGCCCCAAAGCTTGCGGGGTCCAACCCTTCCTCAGCCCGATGGCATTCCTAGAGTGGGGCTCTCCTTTCAGGACCCCCATCAGGAGCTGAAGGGCAAGAACGTCCTTATTGTCCGGTGCTCCCTGGAGCTGACGGCGGCCCGGTTCGGGCTGGAGC